ATATATATATATATATATATCAAAGAGCTCGAGCTTGTTGGCCAAAAACTGGTCAAGTGAAGAGCTCGAGCTATAAACAAACTCGAGCTACCTACATATTATTACGTGCCTGAGCTAAAATATTGAACAAAGAACACGATCTTACATTATCCGAACTGAAGCTAGGCTTTGATCAGTTTCTGATAGCGATATATTGAACGAATGAACATAATTAACAAAAAACACTAAATATCGAGTTAACATTAAAGCCAAAATATGAACCCAGAACAGGCAATGCACTTTACATTTTCAAAAACAAAAACATAATTCAAAAAGCTCGGGATAGGGGCTTAATCAAGATCTGTCGCGTCGGCAGGATCTCCCGATCTGAAGTCTCGACCTTCTCGTAAATACAAACTGTCCACTTATTACAATTTTGACTCCACCTTAAACTATGCACTTCTAACATAACACAAACACCTTGTATGACAATGATAATGACTGCAGGAAGTTGGATCCTTTTAGGACTTCATCTCCAACACCTATAAATAGATGACCCATCCTCATTATTCATGGACGTTTTACATAATATTTCAACATACAGCTTTTCACATAATTTCTCTCGCTGACTTAAGCATTGGAGGGGCAACGATAATTGATGTAGATCGAATCTACAAACACACTAAGAAGCAGGTTGCACCTTAAGAAAACAAACGCTTTTCTTATTTCGTGTACGACCAAAAACCCTACAAGATGTTTTATAGTTTTAAATACTAAAAGATCGGATAACTTTCTGGACCAACAGTCCCTTAATGTGTTGGGCTACAAAACAAAATAAATAAATATTGAAAATAACGAACTAATAAACATTCACCGTTGTTTTGACTTAGCAAACGAATTCAAACGTCCAAAATCCCTCTTACATTACGGCGAAGCAGTGAGTTTAATGAGAATCGTCGTGAGCTTTCTGGAATGGGGTCATGGGCCCAAAACGGACACTTTATGCAAAAATTACGCTATTTTCTTTGAGCGCCGACCATCCAAACGTTTCAAATACGCAAGTGTCTGTTCCTCCACACTAACAATATACAAGTTTTTGGTAGCATCACTATTAATTGATAATAAAACATCTAGTTTTAAAAAGTTCAAGTTGAGGAGAGTATAAAATATTAGCATAATTTTTCATTTCACCCATTTGACTTATGCAAAATATAAATTATATTTATTTTTTATATATCATTTTCACAAACTATTAAACTTGATATATTTGTCCAAATTAATCTATTTTTTTATAAAGAAATAAAATAGATCCGAATTTTTAGAAGA